AAAAAAAATATACTAAACATGGTAGTATATAACTGTGAAAATCCGTATTCTTAAAAAGTTTTTAAAGAAGATTAAACGTTTTAAAATATATATATATATATTGTTTTACAATACTATTCTAATAATTATTTGTAATTAGTAAATATATATATGTTTATTTGAATAACTATAAATTATATATTTATTATTTGTTTTTTTATAAATGGGTACCCTTAGATATTTCTTGGGTCTTTAATTGTATATATTTAAAATAATATACAATTGTTAGAATTTTGTTATTTACCTTCTATGTGTTAAGAAGCTTAATTTCATTTAACTAAATCTTATTTTGTTAAAACTTAAATTTGTTTACCATCTCACATGCATGGAAAAAAAAAATATATACGATAAAGCCAAAAGACTTAGCTTGAGATATGTCCAGTTACTAGCTAGGTACTCTAGACTTGGTTTGTTGTCAATCTGTGGCATAGCATGAAAACACCTAATGCTATTTCTCCATTTAGATGGCAAGATTTGCTTGGTCAATGGACTTAAAAGTTATCTGAATTAAATTTACTTGGCTAGTAAGTATTTGTCTTGCCGCCAGTTACAATGAATAGTTATCCAAATTTATAAGCTCTGCAACCCCAACCAATAGGAAATCATTTAGTTGCCGCATCTTTTGTAGTATAAATAGGAAACCTTCTCAACAATTTTAGAGAAACATGCACGAAAAGGAAACAAAAAGAAAAGAAGGTAGAGAGAAGAAGAAATATTAGGGAGAAATATAGTGGGAAACTGAGTTTGTGAATGCGGTGGAAAATTGGAAATCATCTTACAGTTCTATAGCAAAAACTTTGGTATCCAGGTAGGGGTTTCTTGGAGGGCCTTTACAGGGATTGATTTAATTAAATTTCATGAGCACTATATTATGCGTGATATTATAATTTGATGGATGTTCTTGATATTGAGTGTTTACGTGTTGTTAATTATTTAATTAATATTGGCATGATTATATGTAAATTGGTGATATTTAAATGATTACATTGTTTTTATGAGATATGTGAAAAGAAGAACTATATCATGTCATGGAAATTATTTGGAGTTCTTGGGTTGAGAAAATAATGGTGGAAAAGAGGGTAATGGGAGTGATCTTTTATGTAGTTGAGTCTAACTCTTGGCAGGTACTAGATCTCAGGAATCCCACAGTGCACATGGTTTTTATTGGGTGATTCGGAACTAGCGACAGAGAGTTAGACAAGATGACTAACAAAAAGGGAATTATGGGATGACTGAAATGGGTGTTAGTTCATATAAATGGGCATTTGAGACCAAGTGGTATAAGCATGGTATGGGATGTGCAGGTCTGTTTGTCCAGCTATATGAATTAACGGGAGTAGATGAAGAGCATTCATGCATTATTATTAATAATGTGATATTTGGCATATCTATTGAGTGTATTGTGTACATAGCTTGTGGATGAATAATAAGCTACTCTTTTAGTGAACTCTTGAGTAGTTTTGACTTGTAAAATAATGTAAAAGTTTTAAGATTTCAATGTTGTCGTTTCCACTGAATATTTTATGTGAAATATTTATTTTATTTATTTAAATGTTTCTTCACATTTTAGTTATAGTTTTTTTTAAATTAAATTCTATAATTAAGATGTGAATCACAACTTAACCCAAGGTTACGTAAACCTGTGAGTTGGGGCGTGACAATAACTTTAAGACTATATATATATATATATTGGCAAAGCTTGATTTAATATAACAAAAAGGTTCATATGTGTGCTTGTTATATCTAAATGTACTACGTACATATATGGTAAATGTAGGGAGTATTATACTATTTTATTTTGTATTTATGTATGTATTTTTAAAATTTTAAACTATCTTCAATTAAACTTTTAATTATAAAATCATTTCATACATGAAACACCACATATAAGGTGTGAATATTAATTGGAGCTTAACAATTGTAGTATTCCAACTTAACAATTGTAGTATTACAATTGTCTAGAGCAAGATTAACGTCTAACACTCTTTAGAGTAGTTCCAACAACAAGGGCTGGGGGGGTTTAGGCCCAAAAACGTTTCCAGCAGCAAGGCTGGGGGAGACAGCTACTGGGGCCCATGAAACCAGGCCAGCCCTCAGGCAAGATGAGCCTTAGTTCAAGCCCGAGTTTGCTAACGTCAGCAACAAAAAAAATTTAAACAAACTTCGAAAAAAATCTTTAAAAAATACAAAAAAAAAATAGATTTTTTTAAAAATAAATACTTAGTCATAGTTCACTTCCCACACCAAAAATCTATACAAATTTCTCTCCTCATATCTCATGTGAATAGTTGTTGCCATGGCAATTGGTGGAAACACCACAACCTTTGGCAAGGGCAGCCACTATTCACGTGAATAGTGGCTGTCCTAGCTCCCCCCTTGCCATGGCAAAGGGTTCACTGCTGGAAATGCTCTTATACATGTTCATGACCCGCTAGAATCTAAAACCAATGTGATAGTCACTCGGCTATAACTTGAGCATCAATTGATGAATGTGAATCCATCTTTAGCATCGAATCAAAAAAATTTCATTCATATGAACAAAATATAAATATATAACATGTAGGACAAATTACTTTGATTAATAATCAATATACTATAATAGATTGTTGTATATACATATATACAATCAATATATATATCCCACACGCGCACGCCATCTCTCTCTCTCTCGCCAAACTCTCCTCCTCATCCGGTTGGAAAACTTAAAACAATAAAAGGTGAATTCAAAATTGACCAAAAAAATAAAAGATGAAGTCAAACATGCTATAACTTTCAGATGGGGTGAGACCATGGTCTTAAATATCGATAATATCCCCGATATTATCCCGATAATATCTGATTTTTGGGGGTCCGATATTTTAACAACTAACCATATAGTTATCGTCAATATATCGATATTATCCCGATATTATCCCGATATTATCCCGATAATATCGGAAAGATATTTTCAACACTTTTATGAATGATTTGGTCAATATATCGAGATATTATTGATAATATCCCGATATGAAACTCAAAAAATGTAGAGAACTGAAGTAGCTCATTGAACTGATTTGGGTACTCTACGGAAAGCATGTCTCCTAGAGTAATACAAAAGTAGCTCATTGAGCTAATAAACAAAGCATGTCTAGCCGACAGAATGCTCACATGCTTTTACAAAATGGATAAAATATAAAACTTAGCTTTGGATTCCTGGCTTGGTTTACAAAATGGATAAAATATAAAACTCACCAACGTTTTTTCAACTTACATTACTTACCCTACCATTCAACCACTCACCTGCTTTTACTTACCCTACCATGGCAGTCGGCGGGCAGGACCAGGAATTGGTGCCATAGGGAAGAACTATACTCGTAGAGAAAGAGGCGAGGGGACATTGTCAAGTCAAGAAGATGACTCGTTATCTATAACTTCGGACTCTGTTGGAGTAGGAAGTAGTAACTATGGTTATACTCATAACCAACCATTTCCCTACCCTTCATATCCCATTCCTGTTGGGATGGAATCAAGTGACACATGGAAAGAATCCGAGACTCAATCTTCAAATGATTTTGCTTATGGACAACGTCAACCAATCTCGGATCCATATGGGTGGCATGTTAACAATTACATGGAAAACTATTTTGGGGATTTATCATTTGATGACTACTCTTCAAAATATACTTACTTTACACATAGAGATGATGAAGATAGTGAAAATTTTGAACCTCATAGGAACTCTATGTGGTACTAAGTCACTCATGTATCTTACCATGCAATGTATAAAGTGTAAAATATTGTAGTAATTCATTATATATAAATGATTATGGTGTGTTTAATCTTCTTTCATTAATTACTACATATTTCTACACTTACGGTGTTTGCCAGCTCGCTATATAATCAACTTAAATCAATTAAATCCATCATGCAATGCATTTCCTTCCAATTTTTTGTGATAAACTAATAGATAATTGACTAAATAAACATCCTACAAAGTTTCAATAAAAATTTCCAAGTTTTTCTTACAATTTCCGTGGTTTTTATTCAATTTTTTCCGATACCGATAATATCCCGATATTTCCTGCGATATTTCCGTGTTTTTTGACTTCCGATACTTCCGATACCTCCGATATTTAAGACCATGGGTGAGACCACCATCTACAAAGGAGGCAGCTATGCCTTGGGCAATTATAATAGGTTCCAAGGATGATCAGAAAGAGGAGGTCCTGTTGGATTAAAAACCATCTGCATTTTTTTTTCAATCCTACATCGAATTGAAGTGATGAAAAAAAAAAAAGGAAACATTTCTAAATTTTAAAAAATCATTCTTTGATTTTCTTTCTTTCTTAATTAAAGGTATTCTTTGCATCTCAATACCAAAGAAGTAATGAATTTGTGCAGACCCGGAAAAATAAATGATAAAGAAAAAATTTGGATGGTGTGGGGTATTGCAACAAGGGAAGAGAGCTCCAATGAGGATCCAATGGAGAATATATATATCGGATAAATGATTTAGTGCAAACCCAGAAAAAGAAAAATGAAAGAGAAGAAACAGTAGAGATAAAGAATTGAAGAATAATTTCTTTTTTGGTTGGAGAAGTGTTTGGTTTTTTTCCTAATGCGATCAGTACATATTGTTCCATATCTGAAGAGTTTTAAGTAAGAAATAAAATGAAGGTTGGTGTTGAGGAGCATAAAATCCCAACTAAATCAACGTGATTGATTCTGAATATTGATCATTGATCTGTACAGATATTTAGTTTATTTCCTTCCTTTTATATAGGCGTGTACATTAAGGAATAGTTCATTTAGGCTAGTTTTCAGCATCTTAATTGGCTATTGTATTTGTATAAAGGTTCTGTACCTCATTCTGAATTTATTATCAATATACGAATTACCAATCCTATCATGCTACCAGCAGCCTAAGGTTACCAATAATCCTACACAAACTCAAACCCTAGCCTATCCTCTCGCTAACCTCCATGGCGATCAATGACAGCGTATCACCTCAAGTCTCAGCCAAGCCTGAGCAACCCAAATCTGATTCTCAAGCCTCAGCCAAGCCTGAGCAACCCAAGTATGATGATCCTAATAATCCTCTCTACCTTCATCACTCTGATCAACCAGGGGTTGTCCTTGTCACACAACTCTTGAATGACGAAAATTATCCAACCTGGAGTCGCTCCATGCTCATGGCGCTCAACACCAAGAACAAAGAAGGTTTCGTCGATGGCACCCTCAAGAAGCCTCTGCATGATTCTTCCACAACTCTCCAACAGTGGACACGTTGTAACAATCTCGTCAAGAGCTGGCTCCTCAATTCCATCTCCCCAGATATTGGTGCGAGCATTGTTAATAATGATGTCGCGTCCGACATATGGAATGATCTGAAGGAACAATTCACTCACGCTACTAGTGTCCATCTCTTTCATATGGAGCAAGAAATTCATGATTGCGTTCAAGGAACCATGACCATCGATGCCTATTACACCAAGTTGAAGGGCTTATGGGATGCGAGAGATGCACTTTGCTCTCTTCCATCTTGCAACTGCGGAGCAGCCAAAGAGATGTTCCAATTCCACCAGCACCAAAAGACCATGAAATTTCTTATGGGATTGAATGACGTATACACTGGAGTTCGAGGACAAATCCTACTAATGGACCCATTTCCTGCAGTCAACAAAGCCTTTTCCCTTATTACCCAGGATGAGAAGCAAATGGCAGTTTCTACTCATGCCCTCGGGAAAACACCAGCCACTGACGCCGCCACCTTCGCCGTTCACGGTCCTTGAAATTCTGGTAGAAATTTCTCACCTAAAAACCCTCATCTTAAGTGTGAACGTTGTGATGCCACAGGACACACCTCTGAAACCTATCGAGAACATCTTAAATGTGATTATTGTGGCTGGCGCCATCACACTACACTACTACGTTTTTCTATTTGCGCGACGATAGTTTGCGACGAAGTACAAATCATCGCATAAAAGATCATCGCGCGACAGACAATCATATGCGTAGCGCAAACTAGAGCGACGAAGAACTTTCGTCGCATAAAAGATCATCGCGCGACGGACAATCATATGCGTAGCGCAGCCTAGAGCGTGAATGTTGATGGGGGTAAATTTACTGGACTCAAGAGTCATGACTGTCACGTGTTTATGCAACGCCTACTTCCTGTGGGGATTCGACACCTATTGCCGGAAGATGTAGTGAAGGCAATCATATTGTTGTCCAGATTTTTTTCCCAACTGAAGGCAAAAACGTTGCGAAAGACAAACATTGATCAGTTGCGCCATGACATTGTCCAAGTCTTATGCAAGTTTGAGATGATATTCCCTCCGGCTTTCTTCACGAGTATGATTCATGTGATGGTTCACTTACCAGAAGAGGCATTGCTTGCTGGTCCAGTCAACTATCGCTGGATGTATCCAATAGAAAGGTATATAATCATCATCATTCGTGTAAGCATCATTATCTCATGCTTCCTACTTGCTAATTTGCATCTTTTCATTTTATTTTGGCAGGCTACTCGGAGAGCTAAAAAAAACCGTACGCAACAGAGCGAAGCCCGAAGGATCAATTGTAGAGGCTTGGGTTCAATATGAGGCGCTTACTTTTTGTGGAATGTATTTAAAAGACGTGGACACGGCTTTCAATCGACCTCAGCGCAATAATGACGGAGGTGTGAGAAATGAGCAACTTTCTGTTTTTGCCCAAAGTGCACGACCCTTTGGAGATCCTGTACGAGGAGAGTCGTTTTCCAAAAATGACATGGAGGTGGCGCATTGGTTCGTATTGAACAATTGTGATGAGATAATGCCATATTTAGATGAGCATGAAGAGATGATGAAGCGAGAACATCCATCGCATTTGTATTCCAAGAAACACCGTGAATTGTTTCCAAAATGGTTTTTGGAATATGTAAGTTATAAGTGTTTTGTAATTGACATATATATTGTAGTATTTCATTTTCTCAAACTAACATGTGAATGTTGTTGTATAATATTAGGTGAATAAGTTGAAATCAGATAATTCCCCCACTTACAGTGAAGAGTTGTATAACTTGGCATTCGGCCCAATTCGAGCTGAATTATTCTCGGGTTGTCATGTTAATGGCGTCAAGTTTTTAGGGACTACACGAGATGACAAGTTGTGTACGCAAAACAGCGGTGTCCATGTTCCAGGTGGAGGGGAAAGTACGGACATTGATTTCTATGGCAAACTCACAACTGTCATGCACTTGCTTTACAAAGACCGATACCAAGTCATCATGTTTAAGTGTCGATGGTTTGATACAAACCCAAATAGGCAGGGAAGTGTTAAAATCGATCAAGGGTTACTATCTGTGAACATGAACAGAACTTGGTACGATGACGACCCATACATTTTGGCACACATGGCAAAACAAATTGTTTATGTAGATGACCCTAAAGCAGGGAGCGGGTGGAAAGTTGTTCAGCAGATGGATCACAGGAACGTATATGCTATACCAGAACTAGACCCATCTGACGTCGATGTCGCTGACCAACGGTCAGAATCTTGCATGGAAAATGATGCGGAAACGCTTCGCGATACAAATGTTGTTCAGGAACCATTTCAGTGATACAAAGGAGTGTCTTCAAGAGAAATACCAATTCAATCCATTACAATTGACCTCGGTGATCTTCCTAGATACGATGTAGTTATGGAGGAGGAGGAGGAGGAGGAGGAGGATGAGGATGATTGGGAGACTGAAAGTGATGATAGCGAAGACAACGAAGGTTATTATAGTTCGGATGATGAATAATGCAATTTATTTGTTGCTTCATATGTTTTAGTATTGGTAATTTCTTGTCTAGATACGATGTAGTTATGGAGGAGGATGAGGATGATTGGGAGACTGAAAGTGATGATAGCGAAGACAACGAAGGTTATTATAGTTCGGATGATGAATAATGCAATTTATTTGTTGCTTCATATGTTTTAGTATTGGTAATTTCTTGTAATGTAATTACGTTAGTGTAAATATATTGGCAACTCTACTTTTGTTGAATATATGTACTTGTTATATCTAATTTCCAATTATATATGTATGTGGAAAAATAAAACGAAGTTTAAAAAATTTGGATATACTTACTGAGAAGATTAATGTAAAAAGCAATGAACTCAAGTCATTCATACTTTTGTAATTAAATTATTTTACATTTAATTATGGCGTAAATGCAAATTATTACGGTTAGGAAATGAATCTCGTTCTGAAAAGTTGCACATCTTCCCAATTTCATCATATACATCTCAAATTGAGAAAGAATCTCAATGCTCATGTACTTGAGTTGTACTAAAAAAAAAAGTACTTTTGTCTAAAACGACCGGTCGTCATTTTTGCGGGACGGAAATCTTTCATCCGTAACTGTTTGTGACTTTTGGTCCGCATAGTGTTCTTTGTTTTTCTGTGCTGAATCCAACCGTATAAAGAAATCGAAATTTGAACATACGGTCAGAAAGTTATAGATTAAAAACTGAACAGAGGTCGGAATTGCAAAAAAGGGCCAAAGAATCTGTAAAAAAACGACTGGTCGTCTCTGACATATATATTGTTTACTTTTTGTACTTTACGCGACGAATATTTGTCTGATTCGTCGCGCAATAAATGATAGCGCGACGTAATGAAATTGCCGTCGCTCAATGTACTTCTCAGGATTTAGGGTTTTGAAAGGGTTTAGGATTTAGGGTTTAGGGTTTATGGTGCGCGACGATTTTGTTCATTTCGTCGCGCAAGTTCTCAAATTTTTGGCGGTTATAATCCCGCGTATTAAAAATTTCTTCTGCGACGCCATTTATTTATCCGTCGCGCAAAGTACGAAATTTAACTTTGCGTGACCGATGTTTTTTCGTCGCGCAAAGACGCAAACATTTAGGGAAAGAAACGCGCAGTTTTGGTCTGTCTTCAACCTCTCTCACTCTCTCAGTCTCGACATCAAAATCGCAGCCTCCATTTCCGATTCGAACCCTAACTCGCAGCCGCTCTCTCTCCTTTCCCTCTATCTCATCCCTCTCTGTCCCTCTCTCCTCCGTCCCCACTCATCCCTCTCAATCCCTCTCTCCTCGGACCCCTCTCATCCCTCGCATTTCGTGGCTCCTCCGG